AAACTGTCGTCACTTTCGAGGGCTGCTGGTGGGTCCAGCGGGGTGAGGCACCACGCAGATTCAGATTAGACCTGGCCGTCCCTGGGGGGCTGCCATTCTGGGAAACTGTCACCACTGACGCGGGTCGTTTCAGAGGTGAGGTTGCCCCTCGGGCTCTCTTGTCACTCAGTTCTTTTGACCACGAGCATGATGAATGATCACTGTGGCGATTTGGTTTGGAAGTGAGGTTGCCCATCATGCCCGCTAATCATTCTCGATTCTTACACCATCGCCAGGTCGTGAAATTAATTTCTTGGGTCGCCATTTTGAAACGCGTTAGTATCGCAAAGCGGAAGACGAGGAAGGGGAAAACGATGGGGTGGAGGTGGAGGAGGAAGGGGGGAGGAAGTCCGGCCCGTGCTGCAGCGGCGGCGGCAATCACCGAGACGTGCTAGCCCTGTCGTGAGGTTGCCCGTCGGGCCCTCGAATCACTCCCGATTCCTGACCACGAGCACTGCTCACGCGGCGCGAGTGACGCATGATCCGCGACGCGGATCGGTTCAGAGGTGAGGTTGCCCCTCGGGCCCCCTGGTCACTCAACGCTTTTGACCGCGAGCTTGATGCATGCTCACTGTCGCGATTTGGCTTGGAAGTGAGGTTGCCCATCTGGCCCTCTAATCATTTCCGATTCTTGCACCATCGCCAGGTTCGCAATTGATTTCCTATGTCGCCATCTTGACGGGCGCGACTATCGCAAAACTGAAGACGAGGAAGGGGAAAACGATGGGGTGGAGGTGGAGGAGGAAGAGGGGGAGGAGTTCCGGCCCGTGCTGCCGCGGCGGCGGCAATTACCGAGACGTGCTAGCCCTGTCGTGAGGTTGCCCGTCGGGCCCTCGAATCACTCCCGATTCCTGACCACGAGCAATGCCCGCGTGGCGCGAGTGACGCATGATCCGCGACGCGGATCGGTTCTGTGGTGAGGTTGCCCGTCGGGCCCTCTTGTCATTCAGCTCTTTTGACCACGAGCATGATGCATGATCACTGTCGCGATTTGGCTTGGAAGTGAGGTTGCCCATCTGGCCCTCTATTCATTCCTGATTCTCGCATCATCGCCAGGTTGTAGAATTAATTTCCTAGGTCACCATCCTGAAGGGCGCGAGTATCGTAGATTGGTCAAAGCCCGTTTCCCGTTGACTGACAGCACCTTCGCCGATTCGTCAAATTTACTTCCTGAGTTACATTTTGAAAGGCGCCACTATCGCAAATTTTCAAAAAACAGGTTTCCCGTTGACGGAGAGCACCATCGCCAATTGCTCTTTCAATTTCATGTCTTCGATCACGACCCTGAAGGGCGCCGCTATCGCAGATTTTCCGGCATAGTTTTCTGTGAACAGGGTGCCGTCGCCAATTCTTCAAATTTCGTTCCGAGGTCACCACTCTGGAAGGCGCCACTATCGCAAATTTTCAAAAACACCTTATGCATTCATGGTGCTGCTGCTGCGATGGCTCCTCGCCCCTTCCTACTGGGTTCGTCCTTCTCCTGTCCTTCGTTCCCGCCCCCGCTATTGTTTAACAAGCCCTGAGACATACTCCTCGTCTTATCGATTGCTGTTCTGTGAGTCGTGCAACATTACGCATCCCATGTAGGTCGCACTACAAATCGCCGCGCCTGCACTGTCACGGTTCCTGGTAATGTTTCCCTACTCCGCTTGCCACTTGATGCCATTGGGTTGGGTACGTCGCAGGGTATTTTTTTTTTGTGTGTGTCTGTGTGTTTGTGTTTGTTTCCCACAGGGTGTTTTGTTGTTGTTGTTGTTGTTGTTGTTGTTGTTGTTGTTGTTGTTGTTGAACATTATTACTGCTAAAGAATAATTATTGTTGGGGCCCCTGGTGCATGGCCCCCCCGCCGCGCCTAGGCCGCAGCCACGTTTTCATCATTTTCGTGAGGAAGTCTCAGGCAAAACGGGTTGGTCCGGATCCGGTTGTTTTGTTACGGGCGGTTTTCCCTTGCAAAAAGTAAGCTAAAGTGGACATTTCTTGTTCTAACATAACCAAACTTCAATAATCCCTTGCAAAAAATAAGGTAAAGTGGACATTCGCGCGCGCAAGACGGAATCCTTCCAAAACCTTTGTTTTCGTAACGATTTTAACATAAAAACATCAAAGAACCAATGGTTTTTTTTCAAAAAAAATGTCAAAATTTAATCCCGCGCGCTCTTGCGGATTCGTAGGAAACCCAACACTTTTTAAACATTTCTGTCAAACGGGCTTTTGCGAGCAACTTTTTCAAACTTCTGCAACAACGGTTGCGCACCTGCCAGGGCCATCATCCCTGTCAAATAATACCATGCGGGACACATTCGTTTTTTCTTCGCGCGCGCACGCCGTCGTCGTCGGCCGCGGGGCCCTGAATAGTAGCCACGGTCGTCCGCATGCCACGAAGTGAAGTGTCCGAACGTCATAGGGCGGGAAGCTGGGTGTGGGTGGTGGCGAAGAGTCGTTTGGAAATTTGGTAGAGCTTGAACCGGCCCCCCCACAAAGTGGGGGTATTGCCCGCCTCCTATGAAAACCCTGGCACTGGTGAGAACGGAGTGTCCCCACGTGCTAGTAATTGTTGTTGTTGTTGCTGTTGAACATTATTACTTCTAAAGAATAATTATTGTTGGGCCCCCTGGTGCACGCCCCCCCGCCGCGCCTAGGCCGCAGCCACATTTTCATCATTTTCGTGAGGAAGCCTCAGGTAAAACGATGTGATCCAGATCCGGTTGTTTTGTTGTAATCCGTTTTCCCTTGCAAAAAACACTATAAAATGACATTTCTTGTTCTAATATAATCAAATTTCAAGAATCCCTTGCAAAAAATAAGGTAAAGTGGACATTCGCGCGCGCAAGACGAAATCCTTCCAAAAGCTTAGTGTTCGGAGCGATTTTAACATAAAAACATCAAAAAACCAATGGTTTTTCAACAAAAAAATGTCAAAATCTCATCCCGCGCGCTCTTGCGGATTCGTAGGAAACCCAACACTTTTTAAACATTTCTGTCAAACGGGCTTTTGCGAGCAACTTTTTCGAACTTCTGCGACAACGGTTGCGCACCTGCCAGGGCCATCATCCCTGTCAAATAATACCATGCGGGACACATTCGTTTTTTCTTCGCGCGCGCACGCCGTCGTCGTCGGCCGCGGGGCCCTGAATAGTAGCCACGGTCGTCCGCATGCCACGAAGTGAAGTGTCCGAACGTCATAGGGCGGGAAGCTGGGTGTGGGTGGTGGCGAAGAGTCGTTTGGAAATTTGGTAGAGCTTGAACCGGCCCCCCCACAAAGTGGGGGTATTGCCCGCCTCCTATGAAAACCCTGGCACTGGTGAGAACGGAGTGTCCCCACGTGCTAGTAATTGTTGTTGTTGTTGTTGTTGAACATTATTAATTCTAAAGAATAATTATTGTTGGGCCCCCTGGTGCGCGCCCCCCCTGCGCCGCCTAGGCCGCAGCTACATTTTCATCATTTTCGTGAGGAAGCCTCAGGTAATTCGATGTGATCCAGATCCGGTTGTTTTGTTGTAATCCGCTTTCCCTTGCAAAAAACACTATAAAATGACATTTCTTGTTCTAATATAATCAAATTTCAAGAATCCCTTGCAAAAAATAAGGTAAAGTGGACATTCGCGCGCGCAAGACGAAATCCTTCCAAAAGCTTAGTGTTCGGAGCGATTTTAACATAAAAACATCAAAAAACCAATGGTTTTTCAACAAAAAAATGTCAAAATCTCATCCCGCGCGCTCTTGCGGATTCGTAGGAAAACCAACACTTTTTAAACATTTCTGTCAAACGGGCTTTTGCGAGCAACTTTTTCGAACTTCTGCGACAACGGTTGCGCACCTGCCAGGGCCATCATCCCTGTCAAATAATACCATGCGGGACACATTCGTTTTTTCTTCGCGCGCGCACGCCGAAATCTCAAAAACCATTGGGTTCTGTGGGTGTGTACCCCACGCCAGTGTAGTAGCCACGGTCGTCCGCACGCCACGAAGTGAAGTGTCCCAACGTCATAGGGCGGGAAGCTGGGTTTGGGTGGTCGCGAAGAGTCGTTTGGATATTTGGTAGAGCTTGTAATGCCCCCCCACGAAGTGGGGGTATTGCCTGGTGTCGTATGAAAACCCTGGCACTGGGGAGAACACCACGCGTTCGGGTAAAATGATTGTTGTTGTTGTTGTTGTTGTTGTGTGTGTGTGTGTTGTGTGTTTTTGCGTGTGTTTTTGTCGCACCATGTGCGCGTCGCCCCCACAGGGCGGCGGCGCGCGCGCCGGGAAGTCTTGCAGCACAGGCTCCGTGGCGGGCGCCCTCTGGCCGTGCCGCTCGGGAGGAGCCGCCCTGGCCCCGCCCGCTCGGCCTCGGGCGGCCGCGCGGAGCGGCGTGGGGCGCCTCACTGCGCGGGCACCCGCCGCGGCGCTTCGGCCTCCTCGTGCGCGGGCAGCCGGCGAGCTGTGCCTCGAAGCCTCTCCGTTCCGCGCGGCCGACGCGGCAGAGACCTCCGAGGATGTTCGAGGGCCGCGCCAACTTACCAGCCTGGAACATATCCCTATCCCTATGTTTGACATCACCTCACCTCGATGCCGACCTTAAGGATTCCCTCAGTTTTTGAGGGCCTATCCCTAGGAATGTCCTCGCTTTTTGCTCGCCCATCTTAGGGATAGGGATACGTTCGAGGCTGGTTACCAACGGAGATTTATATGATGGGCGGGAGGGAGGCGTGAACGCCGGTGCGTCGCGGCGAGCGGGTGGACGCCTGCTTCCTGGGCGTGGCCATGGGCTGGGGTTGGACGCGTACATCTGGGCAGCGGCGCCATCGGCGAGGCGATGCGCGACGCCCTCGACGCCCACGGCCTCCCAACGACTCTCGCAGAGGTTACTCTCGCAGGGGGGTTCTCAGCGACCGACTGCCTTGCATCCGCTGGCACTGGCTACGGAGCCTTGCGTCAACGACATCAACATGCTGGTAATGGGTGCCACTTGAGGGCGGCAGGTCTTCAGCGCCGCCGCGGAAATCCTGACCTCGCGGGTCCTGGTGCTCCGGGACCTCGTCGACGGGGGCATGGAATTAGAGCTGGGGCGTGTGCAGGTTCTCAGGGGATGGGCCTCGCGTGATTCTTGGGCACCTGTGCCAACACATCGGCCACAAGGCCATCGCACTGGGCTGCCTGCCGAGTGCTTACAGTCAACCCGCATAGCAAGGATGAGCAACTTTTCAAAGTTACCATTGCATCCTTCCCACGTGGCACATCCTTGGCCGCTTTCGCTGGCCACGCCCCGCTCGCAGAGTGTCGACATGGCCTTCCAAGGCCCTTGCCTCCGTATCATGCGTCCTTATTATACGGTATCAGTTTGCCTTCGATCACGCGGGCGAGGTGCGCGCGCTGCTGGTGGCGGTCTGGGACGTGCTGTGGATTTGCAGGCCGTTGGTGCAGGCGGTGGGCGTCGACCTCGCCAAGGGCGTCCATTGGCGCGTCTTCTGCTCTGACTTGTTTCGAGACGGCTACGCGCTCCACGGAGCCCCGGCCAGCTCCGTCGAGGTTCCCGCCCTGAGCCGCCGGAACGGCGGCGATCTCGCGACGCCCTGCGTCGAGGCGCCCAGCGAGCCCGCCCATGCCTGGGAGGGGCGAGGGGCTCGCGTCAACGTGGGCCGACCAGACGACGGGCGCTAGCTCGGCATCTCTCGGACGTGTGCATTTTTGTCTCGGCGGGGACCATCGAGGAGCATCCTTGATCATTTGGCGAAAAAGCCGCGCACGAAACCGAAACATACACGAGGAATGGACGTTCGAGCGATGGCGAGCTAGCGCCGGCGATGAGCGGGCGGCAGCCACCGACTTGGACAGGGCGCATCCTCGCCACCTCGCCGTCGATCGCCCACCGGGGCCCCGTTGGCGGCTCTGCGCGGCGGGGGGGAGGGCCGACGCCCACCCCGCCGAGCCCGTCCACGTCCTCGGATGTCGGGCATCGCTGATGGGCGTGCGGTGGGCCGCCGTCACCCCGTCGGCCGAGGAGCCGATCGTCGTCCCCATCGGGCTCGACCGATGGGCGGTGACCAAGATCGGCACGACTTTCTGTGTTTAGTTCTGGTCATGGTCACTGTTCTTTTCCCCTCCACTGAGGGAAGGGGTGGGTCTGGCTGGGCTGCATTTCTGTCTGATGGGCTCGGGCGCACTGCAGTGGAGCCCATGCCAAGAGAAACACTTTGCTTGCCTCCAGGGTGTCCTGGGTCTCTTGGGTTTCGAGGGCCCTGCCACGGAAATCGTGGCGCCCCCGCACCACAAATCCATGGGCGTTCCGTGGTCTCAGGGTTGGTTTTCTCGTGGAAGGTTTCTTGTGGGCTGGCCTCCACTGCATCATGGCGGGCGTGCTGGCCACCGAGCGTCCAGTCGGGCCTGTCCCTGTACAGGGGGAATACTCAAAAATAGTCCCAAAATAGTCTGGGGACTTTTTTTTTTTTTTTGTTCTGTGGACCATTTGGAGTATTGTTTGACTATTTTTCAGTTTTTCTTGAAAATCCTCCCGTAGGGTGACATGCCCGACTTCAAACCGAGCGGGGCCGCGCCAGCGGTCTGCGGTCTCCAAGGACAAGGCGGCGAGCGCCTCGTCGGCTGCCCCGAGGGCAGGGCCCTCCTCCGCCGAGAGGGCGCGGCCCGCGCGCGAGCCGGCGGTGGCGCCGACGAGGGTGCCGTTCGCCCGGCAGCGGTTCGGTGAAGAGGATCGCCGAGCGCGTTCCACTACTCGCAAAGTTTAAGTCGGGCCTGTCCCCCTACAGGGGGATTTTCTACCAAGAAATACCCCCCAAATATTCAAACAATAGTCCAAACATAGCCAGGGGACTGTTTTTTAGTATTTGTTTGACCTTCTTGGGGTATGTTTAGGTTTTTTTTTTCGTCGAACATCCTCCTGTAGGCACGCCCGACATAAGGCAAAGTGTCTTTCTACATGTAAAAGGGGTCAGAAGTCCCTCGCGGCGGGTCCAGGCCATCTGCGAGCAGTCACTCTGCGAGTGGTGGAACGCGCTCGTCCAGAGGAGGAGTGTTAAGTCGGGCCCGTCCCTTTACAGGGGGAAGGTTCAAACATGGTGAACAAACCGTCTGGGGACGATTTATCGATCATGGCTGACCACTCTGGAGCCTGTGTTTTTTTTTCGGCATTTCGTCGCAGATCCGCCTGTAGGAGGACATGCCCGACCAAAGAGGAGTGCCGCTGTCGACTGCCCCGCGCGATGGCCCTCTTCGCAGAGGGTGCGCCCTGGGCGCGAGCCGACAGCCTCTCGCTCCCAGGGTGCCGTCGCGCGGCGGTGCCGCGGCCAGGCTGCAGCTCGGGCCCGCCTGTCTTGCCACGTCGTTGGCTTGTTCCCGATCGGTTGATGGTCCTGGTGGTGGTGTTGATGATGGGGATGATGATGCTGCTGATGATGGTGATGATGAGGATGAGGAGGATGAGGAGGAGGAGGAGGAGATGGAGGAGGAGGAGATGGAGGAGGAGGAGATGGAGGAGGAGAAGGAAGAGGAGGAGGAGGAGGAGAAGGAGGAGGAGGAGGAGGAGAAGGAGGAGGACGGGGAGGACGAGGAGCATGAGGAGGAGGGGGAAGAGGAGGAGGAATAGGATGAGGCTGAAAAGAAGAGGAGGAGGAGAAACACGAACAGAAGGGGAAATAGAGCAGGAGGAGGACGACGACGAGGGAGATAAGTGAGGAGCATGAGAAGCGGGATGACGAGGAAGATGGATGACGGGAAGCCGCAGGAGGAGGAACAGCAGGATGATGTTGTTGATGATGATGCTGATACTGGTGGTGATGATTATTATGCCGATGGTAATGATGACGATGATGACGACGACGATGAGGAGGAGGGTAAGGATGAGGATGATGATGATGCTGATGGGGGTGAGAATGATGACGAGGATGCAGATGATGCTGATGATGGTGATGATGAGGATGGTGGTGGTGCTGATGATGATGGTCATGGTCACGATGATGATGCTGATGATGATGGTGATTGCGACGATGATGATGATGATGATGATGATGATGATGATGATGATGATGATGATGATGATGATGATGATGATGATGCTGATGATGATGATGATGATGATGATGATGATGATGGTCGTGGTGACGATGCTGATGCTGATAATGATGGTGATTGCGACGATGCTGATACTGTTGATGATGATGGCCATGGTGACGATGATGATGCTGATGATGATGGTGATTGTGACGACGATGCTGATGCTGATGATGCTGATGAGGATTGTGATGCTGCCGCTGCAGCAGCTGCTGATGCTGATCCTGCTGATGATGATTATAATAATGCTGGTGATGATGATGCTGCTGATGATGATGATGATGATGATGATGACGGTGATGTTGGTGATGATGCCGATGATGACGATGATGATGCTGATGATGCGGCTGCTGGTGATGTGGATGGTGGTGATGATAAGGATGGTGATGGTGATGATGGGGATGCGGAGATGGTCATGCTGATAGTGCGTATGATGCTGATGGTGATGCTTGTGCTACTGCGGATGCTGACGATGCTGATGGTGATGCTGACGACGACGATGCTGATGAGGATGATGCTGGTGATGGTGCTAATGCTGATTTTGATGCTGGTGCTGATGGTGATGATGGTGACGATGGTGCTGATGATGCTGCTGATGATGCTGCTGCTGATTATGAAGATGATGACCTGTCGATGATGATGCTGATGCTGATAATGATGATGGTACTGTTGATTATGATTATGACTGCGATGATGCTAATGTTGATGTTGATGGTGACGAGGATCCTGCTGCTGCTGATGATGATGATGATGCTGATGATGCTGATGGCGGTGGGGAGGAGGAGGAGGAGGAGCAGCAGGAGGATAATGAGGAGGAGAAGCAGGAGGTGGAGGAGGAGGAGAAGGACTACGCACGACGACAACGTGGATGACGAAGAGAAGGAGGAGGAGGTTGAGGAGGAGGAGGACGACGACGATGGGGAGGAGAAGGAGGAGGAGGAGGAGGAGGAGGAGGAGGGGGAGGAGGAGGAGGAGGAGGAGGAGGAGGGGAGGAGGAGGACAATGAGGACGAGGATGAGGGAGACAGATGATGATGATGATGATGATGATGATGATGATGATGATGATGATGATGATGATGATGATGATGATGATGATGATGATGATGATGTGATGATGATGAGGAGGGAGGAGGAAGGAGGAGGAGGAGGAGGAGGCAGCGTCCAGAACGGATCCGCCTACAGCGCCAGCGCCACGAGGAGGAGGAGGAGGAGGAGGAGGAGGAGGAGGAGGAAGGATGACCACGAAGAGGAGGAGGAGGAGGAGGAAGAGGAGGAGGAGGAGGAGGAGCAGGACGGGCAGGATGAGTAGCCAATTTTGTCGGAGGAGGACAAGACGTACTCTTGGCAGTCATGGCCATCGTTGGGCTTTCTTTGGGCATCTCTTGTGGCCTCACGTGCGCATCCTGGGACCTCTTTGGATCTTCCGAGTTGTGTCGGAGACCATCTTGGACAACGTTGCGTCGTGGTGGGAACACTGTTGAGCTGCTAGGTGTTGAGTCCTCGAGTTGCCCTTGGGAGATATTAGGTGTGTGTGTTTCTATGTGTTGTGGGGTGTTGGGGTGGTTTGGGGTACCCAGGTCCGCAAATCTGGCCGTAATCGTCTAAACAAATTCCCCAGGGCTCCACTCAAAACTTCATGGTGCGATGTGTCGGGGCCCTTTTTGGAGCCAACCCGGACCGTCTTGCAGTCAGCTTGCCAGCCTTGTGGCCCGAGGCTGGGGCGAAGGCAGGCCAGCTGGTTCCGCTGGGCCGCCTACCTTCGAATCCGCAGGCTCAGCATCCACTTGTTCCCTCTCGCCCTCCTCCTCCTCCTCCTCCTCCTCCTCCTCCTCCTCCCCCTCCTCCTCCTCCTCCTCCTCCTCCTCCTCCTCCTCCTCCTCCTCCTCCTCCTCCTCCTTGGCCGTGCCTTCGTTCTCGCGTCCTCCTCCTGGTCCCCGCGCCCTCTTCCCCCAGCCCCAGCGTCCGGCCCTGCCTCCTCTCGACATCTGGGGCGTCGGCCCCGACGGAGAGGAGCCGTCCACGCGAGGAGGCCGCTTGTGCAGCAGGATCGTTCCAAGCCCGCACGTTTTACGTTCTGCCCTGGGCCCCGCGAGGAACGAGTCCATCTCCGTCCCCCCCCCCGTCAACAAGTCTTGCCTCGCGCCTCCCGCGCCCCCTTCCTGCTCACGCAGGGGGTCCGGAAAGGATGCGGGGGGACTTGCGTGATGAGCACGGAATTGGCATCGCCTGCGCTGCGGACCTACGTTAATCGGCACGCGTGCAGTGGAGGAGGAGGAGCAGCAGGAGGAGGAGGAGGAGGAGGAGGAGGAGGAGGGAGGAGGGAAGAGGAGGGAGGAGGAGGGAGGAGGGAGGAAGAGGGAGGAAGAGGGAGGAGGGAGGAGGGAGGATGTAGAGGGCCAATCCAAACCAGAGGGGCAGGGAGGAGGGAAGTACCAGCCTGGTTCCCGCTGCCCTTCACTTCGTCTCCAGCGCCCCTGCCCCGCGCGCAGGTCCGACGCCGCGAGCATGAGCGCGAGGAGGCAGCTGCTGTCGAGCCGGCCACCGTGGTGGCAGGCCGAGCCAGGCGCGTGGCCGGCACGGCTGCCGTGAGGGCCGGGCCCAGACCTCCGGGCGTCGCGAGCAAGGTCACAGCAGCAGTTTGTTCAGCGATTCCAGCGTCTGGGGAGGATTCTGGTGATCGTTTTCTATTCATTGTTTTGCCGATCGGCGCGGGCCCCAATACCCCCCCCATGGAGAGATCTTGGCTGTTTTTGGGCGAGTGTTTCGAGCGGGGGGAGTCTCCCCCAGTCGCACTAAGCAGAGATCTGGAGCCAGATCCCCCCCCATCCCCCCTTGCTGCCCCATATCGAAATGCCGAATAAAAGCAACAAGATGCTCACATGCTCTGGCCCTCTCCCGTAGAGGGCGGCCCGCCTGGCCCCGCGGATGGGGCCGACAGCTCTGGGGCTTCGCGGCCCAGGAGGAGCCAAGCAGTCTGTCCAGAGGACACAGCAGCGGCTGAAGCGGAGTGCGTTCTGGCCAAAAGTTCGCGGCGGATCTGGCCCAGCCACGGGACACTCCAGGTGGCCCGCAGATGCTCCCAACCATCCAGAAACCTCGATCCTGGAGCACCCTCCTCGGGCCTCGGGCCCCAGGCCCAACCTAGGCCAGGCCCCCTGGATCCTGGATCACCCTCCTCCTCCTCCTCCTCCTCCTCCTCCTCCTCCTCCTCCTCTGCCTCCTCCTCCCTGCTTTCCCAGGCCCCTGGGCGGTGCCTCTCTCGCGTTTGCCATCGCTCGTGTCAGGTGTATTTCGGTTGGCGGGGCAAGACTGCTCGCCAGTAGAGGCCTTGCTAAACAACTCCCTGCTTCCTCCTCCCCCTCCTCTTCCTCCTCCCCCTCCTGGATCCTAGATTTCCTTCCTCCTCCTCCTCCTCCTCTGCCTCCTCCTACCTGCTTCCCCTCCTTCCGCACCCCTGGGGGCTCATCTTCCGATATATATATATATATGTATTTATAAGCCCGGGCGGGGGGACCCCCCCCCGCATGTGGGCCCAATCCCAACCCACTGGGCCCAATCCCAACCAACTGAGACCAATCCCAACCAATGCGAAAAGCAAACTGGGCCCAATCCCAACCATCTTGGGATAGGCCCACAATAGGATTTTAATTGTAGAGAAGCCCAAGACGAGTGCGAAGACCAAGTGACATTCCTTATGTCAACGCACAGGATCTGGAAGCCAACATGCATGCTCGAGTTGGAATTGGTCTCAGTTCTGGTTTGCACACGAGCACTACGTTAAGATGAGCAAGAGGGCACCGAAGCGTAAACATCGATTCTAAAATATGCAAATGGATCTTCCTGGTACTAGTAGTAGTAGTCGTAGTAGTTGTAGTAGTCGTAGTAGTAGTCGTAGTAGTAGTAGTAGTAGTAGTAGTAGTAGTAGTAGTAGTAGTAGTAGTAGTAGTAGTAGTAGTAGTAGTAGTAGTAGTAGTAGTAGTAGTAGTAGTAGTAGTAGTAGTAGTAGTAGTAGTAGTAGTAGTAGTAGTAGTAGTAGTAGTAGTAGTAGTAGTAGTAGTAGTAGTAGTAGTAGTAGTAGTAGTAGTAGTAGTATAGTAGTAGTAGTAGTAGTAGTAGTAGTAGTAGTGGTAGTAGTAGTAGTAGTAGTGGTAGTAGTAGTAGTAGTAGTAGTAGTAGTAGTAGTAGTAGTAGTAGTAGTAGTAGTAGTAGTAGTAGTAGTAGTAGTAGTAGTAGTAGTGTAGTGGTAG